TGGAGCCGGTCCCCGGGCGGCGGTGGCAGAAGGTGCTGTACGAGCGACAGCCCTTCCCCGATAACTACGTGGACCAGCGGTTCCTGGAGGAACTGCGGAAGAACGTGCACGCCCGCCGGTACCGGTACCGGGCCGTCGTCTTCCAGTCGGGCGCGGTGGTGCAGCAGCTCTGCAGCGTCTGCGTCTTTGTCGTCACCTGGTGGTACATGGACGCCGGGATGCTGAGTCCGCAGGGACTTTTCGGGGCGGCCCTGGTCTCCTCCCTGCTCGGCTACATCCTCTTCGACGCCGTGGATGGCGGGGCTGGGCGGCAGGAGAGCGGGCGGACACGGTGGGCGGACCTGAAGAGCACCTTGGTGTTCGCCGCCTTCACCTACGGCTTCTCGCCGGTGCTGAAGACGCTGACGGAGTCCATCAGCACGGACACCATCTACGCCATGTCGGCCCTCATGCTCCTCGGTCACCTCATCTTCTTTGACTACGGTGCCAACGCCGCCATCGTCTCCAGCACGCTGTCCCTCAACATGGCCATCTTTGCCTCCGTCTGCCTGGCCTCCCGCCTGCCTCGTTCCCTCCACGCCTTCGTCATGGTCACCTTCGCCATGCAGATCTTCGCCCTCTGGCCCATGCTGCAGAAGAAGCTGAAAGCCCAGACACCCCGATGCTATGTGGGGGTGACGGTGCTCTTCGCATTGGCAGCGTTGGGGGGGCTGGCCACTGTCTCCAGTGTGGGCGCTGTGCTCTTCGCCTCGCTGCTGGTCGCCATCTCCTGCCTCTGCCCTTACTGCCTCATCCGCCTTCAGCAGCTCAAGGACAACATCCACGGACCATGGGATGAGGCTGAAATCAAGGAGGACCTCTCCAGGTTCCTCATGTAGGCTGGCCTAGGGGGAGAAGGGACCTTCTGCTGTGAGCCACACAAAGAACCTTGCTGGGGGACAGCCCTGGGGGGAGGACACCAGCCTAATAAAACCTTTCATGCAGCAATGAGGACCACGTTTGTGTTACCCTCAGCATCTATTTCCAGACCTGACCTGCTTGGTTTTGGAAAAGGAATGAGCTGAACCCCACACATGGCTAGCCTGAGCAGCAGCTTGGGGCACAGGCGAGTGGGGTAGTGCATGCTCTGGCCATGCAGACCCATACCTGGGTTTGGGGGGGTGTGCATCCCCTGAGCAGAAACACCACATGGAAACGCACATCTGGCTCAGATGGGCCCCACGACATTCCCATGAAGGTCCTCAGCCTCAGGGACCTCGATGTGTGTGATGGCAACTGACAGCACTTGCCTGGGTGGCCTGGAGGGGAAGGGGGCTGGGTGAGGGTCTCTGCGGGCAGGATGGAGGTGTGGGGTGGTGGGTGCTGCAGGACCAAGCAGGGCTGAACACGAGGGCACCTGGGATGGGTGCAGTGCAGAGCCCTGCACCCTGCTGGTCACTGATGCCAGAATAGTCTCATGACACTGCCAGGTACCACATCACCCAAAATCCTTTAGGAGAGGTGGGGGTGAGGGGACAAGACACCTTCCTCCCCTTTCTAACCCCCTCCCAGAGGTGGATCTGGCCTCGCTGCAGGGCCAGACCCCGAGCCTGAGGGATGGAGCTCAGCATAGACTCAGCACGGTCCCTGGCTGGGAAGATGCCAGGCCGCTGGGACTGCGGCGGGGCCCGTCGAGGTCCTGTCTGGTGGCCATCTGTCCAGCGGCAGTCTGTCCAGCACCGCACGCACTGCAACAGAGGGCGCTCCCAGCAAACAAGTCCCGCTGGAGGCCAGGCCAGGCTGAGCGCTGGGAGGGCTTCCCCCTTCCCAGGCACCTTCCCTTTCCCTCGACAGCCCAGGGAGCTGAGCCTGCCAGAGCCCGCACCACGAGAGGGAACGGGTGCACGTACCTGCCCCAGCCCCACCTTGCAGGGATGCTTTTGGCACTACCCGGGTTTTATGGAATCCAATACTGCAGAAGTACAACTTTGTGCTTGATTTACCCCATCCCTTTGAGCGTCCGTCTGTGTCTCTCCCCAGCGCGCGGGCGCTTGCTGTGCACTCCTTGGGCATTCTCAGAAATGAGCAACCCCCAGTGGAGTCCCCAACACCTCCAGTGCCTTGTCACAGCTCTTGCCAAGTTAAATGTTGCTGTTTTCGTCATGATGACAACATGTCATTTTGGTTTTAATTAAAACCTGTGGAAGTTTAGAGCCTGGGCTCCACTCTCACAGGGAACACAGTGTAGCCAGATGCTTGCAGTCAAGATGGTATTTTTTGGTTCTTCAGAAAGAAGACTGTTTTTGCACAGAGGTTTCCCAGAAGGCTGCTCAGCAACCGGGGTGTCCCATCTTGCACCGGGCTCATGCCATTATAAGTAACGCTGCCATCCAAAGCCAATTCACAGAGTCCATCAGTAGGGCAAGGCTTCAAATCTAGTTTGCCTGGTGCTTGTTGTTAATATCTGTCATGGTAGGGGCTACAAGAAAGCAGAGTTTCTGCTGCACCCATTCCCACAAGGAGAAAGATTTCCCCAAAAATAGTCTTCCCAAATTCAGACACTCAAAATCGGCTCTGGGTTAGGAAAGGTGCAAACATCAACTACCCAGACATTCCAGGTGGAGACAGACACAGACTGCGACTGTCAGTCACCCCAGCCACAGCTGGAACCCAGTGGATCCCCTCTGCAGATCCCTGGGCTCCAACTGATGCAGCAGGCCTTGTCCACACAGCTCCAGGCAGGATGCAGGATGTGTCCCATCCAGCCTGCCGCAGGCATCTTCATCCCAGCCCACAGCCTCAGGCCTCTCTGTTCCTTCCTTCCTTTCACCTCCTCCTTAGCCTCAGTCCTTGCCCAGAGATCCCCTGGGGAAAGACTGAGCTCTCTGCTTAGCTTGTCTGCAGATACCTTGCTCTCCCTAACCTGGGAGATGAAAATACAAAGTCCAGTCCACAATCTGGATGCACAAAGGGAAGGAGGGAAAAATGCAAGTGAGAGCCAGGGAGAGGAGAAGAGAAGACACAAAGGCCAGGCAGAGATTCCCTAGGAGTTCTCTGACTTCTCCTGAGGACACATGCTCTGCAATGCTGCTGAAATTATTTAAGATGCTGAATAAATGGCCATTATGAGCATGTCCTCATGCCTGAGGTCAGAATATCCTCTACAGAGCAAAACTTTGACGGAACTCTACGTCCACCTCAGCAGTAAAGCTGAATGCCCTTTAAGCATTCACTACCTGAGCGTACCAGTCTGCGGCTTCTTGGATGAAGCACATGCTGAGACCAAAGAAAGAGGTCAGTTTGTAGGCAACCAAATCATCATCAACCAACTCTATAAAGAGTTAAATGTTATTTTGCATTACAAGGAAGTACAGTTGCTTTCTCTTAAGTTTCCAAGTCCACTGAGATCCAGTACTTCAGTGAGACATTTTCTTTTGATTTGAAGCTGGCCAAATGCGAGTAATTGAAAACTGGCTAGGGATAAGCCTTGATCCTGGGGGAGCCACTGACACGTGCCGTCTGGAATCTCCATCTCCAGCCTCTGCAGCAGGGAAAGGCAAGCGTCAGCCACCCACACTGCACTGTCAGGGGCCTGCATCCCTCCTCATGTGGGAGACTGGATCTAGGAAGCCTGGAAAGAGTAAAGCTTCAGTCTTTGAAGGTAAGATCTTTCTATCTCTTCAATTCCTACAGTAATCACTAAGCTTTTCTCAGCTTTGTGATGTGAGAGGTGATAGCAACAATGTGAATGATCAGGAAACCAAACCAGGATTTTGGTCCTAACCCACCCATTGAAAAGCAGCTTAGGACACATAATGCCACCAGCTGGTGCAGCACTCTTAGCCTTTTCCACCTAGCCACAGAATGTATACCATTGCAGGGTGGAAATAGCATAGACAAGGTTAAGCAGCTTCTTCAAAAAGGCATCCTGTTATTTGATGCTAAAGAACGGCCAAGGTTTCCCTGCACACCAATACCTTTGTCTTTCTGCTTAGGAGGTTTTAGGAATACCTGCCAGAAAACTGTGAAGTTTGGAGTCCTATTTCCAACAATTTTTTGACAGATACTTCAGAAGGTAGCAAGGATTTCTGTGGAAGGTTTAACACCATAAAATGCCCCAGGAAAAAAGTTTGTGCCTTACAGCCCCATGGAGATCAGCTGGCAGCTAGGAGGACAGCAGTAGCTCCTGGTTGGGGTGCTGTAGATAAGGTGATACAGCTATCAGCCACCTTTTATTTATTGTTGGTTTCATCTGTTGGTACCATGCTGTGTCCCAGAGGGAATGCAGTCACAGCTTCCCCCAGTGCAGAACAGATTTTGAACAAGCTTGAAGAAAACCAGCATGTCACTCCCTCTTACCTGAGAAGTGAAGCATGGCCAGAACCTCCTCAAGAGATCACTGGGTATAAATACCATTGCTTCTGTGGTAGTCCTGAAAATACACAATTCCTGAACACTACTGAGGATTTTTGCCTCGGTACCTGACAGCAATGAGTTCCACAGATGAAAGATACAGCAAACCCGAGTGTCCCTCCTCACCCCCTACTGTTGGGACAGCTGTGTTCCCAGGACTGTTAGCAGCCTCCATTTCTCCATTTTCCCAGGGTGCTGGGAAGCACCTTGCCCATCAGTGTACTCTTTCCAGCTCTAGCAATTCCTAGTTCAGCACATACAGTTCAATGGTCTCGCAGGAATGACTATTTATCTCCCTCTTCTAAGAACTGGGGTTTTTTCCCCATTTGCTAATACTGTTGCTGTTTCTTCTGTTGCACTCTACCAAAAAACAACATCTAAGAAGCGGGAAGAAAAATCTGTGTAAGTCTACAGCTCTCTGGGCTTGTACCCCCTTATAATTTGAGCAAACTCAGTGTCTGGCATTTACCAGCACATGCAGGTGGTTCAGCAGCCCCCTGGATATACAAGAGGTCAAAGCAGGGACCTAAATTACCTGGAACAAGTGGAAGTGCCCAAATTCAAAAAAGTTGTGTCAGACCTGCCTTGAAACCGAGCACAGCCTGTGTGTTGTCAGGCTCCTTCTACACACCTGATACTGACTTCCTCCACGCTCCTGCCCCGATCCCCTGAGCAGCACCACTGCGGCTCCCTCTCGCCATGAGCTTCCTACTACAGAGAAATGTCTTGTTTGTGCTCCTGAAACAACAGGCTGAAGTTCTGATGCTGTGTTGTGCCTCCACTTCATATCTATGCAGTGCCTTGTGATTTATCTGCATAGTTTGTGAGATATACCTTCTTCTTTGTTTCCATAGGAGAAAAAAAGTCAATAAAAGCCATGTTTTCCTTTTTTTCTTTTTTTAGGCTTAATTTTCATATACTTCTCTGGCACCCAAACCAAGCACATGTTCTAAATGTTAAATCCCAGATTTTCTCTTTCCCATAGGGACAGACACATTTGGAATCCCAGAGGTAGCTACTTGAGTTCAGATGCTCCCATGACATTGGCTTGCAAGGAATTCAGAGGTTTAGCTTGAAAAAAAATGTTCAGAACAGCCGTGATTTATTTATAATTGCGCAGATTCATCAGTCTGGAGACTGCTGCAATCTTCCCCTTTGACTTTCCACTCAGCCAGGTGCTGCCACTGGTGCATTAGGCATGTTTTAGGACTCGTCTATTGTTAAAGCAGCTGGCTATTCTTTCTGCTAATGCTAAGCCAAAGCCATTCATACAGAGCAATCCTAGTGATTAATGAATTCAGATGATGTAGTGGAATCCCAGCAGAATGTCCCTCCCTCCACCACCTTGGAGAGAACAGAGCCAAGGCAATTTCTTCCATGGGGTGTGAATGGCTCTATTTGAGGAGTGGGTAGACCCTTCAGTAGAAAACTAGCACACATTTGTTTTGTAGTCAGAATTTTAATTTTCTTTATAACCAGGCTTATCACTGACATCTGAAAATAAAATCTTTCATTTACAAATAGGCTAGTGCAAATTAAAGATAATTTTGAACCAAAAAAAAAAAAAGAGACATTTCATGTAACAAAAATGCGTTAGGACGATCTTCCTGGAACAGCTGGTGGAGGTCGCCTAGGAAAAAGACAAAAAATAACCCAAAATTCATGGGCAAGGGTGGAAGATCTAAACCAAAAGGTCAGGATACAATAAAATGACTCATATACAAAATTATCTTAATAAAATGGGTTAAGAGAAAAAGGCACATAACATGCACATTAAGGAAAAGAGCAAGAGCAAGATTAGAATCAGCTGGCTATCAGCACAGCCTCAGCTTTCATCCTCACCGCTTCCCATCTGACTTTGCTGATGCCAGAGAACTAGGACAGTCACATCATAAGCGTGGAGGTTGCTGGTCACAGGCTTTCTAATTTTCTTGCAGCAGATAATATCCTCTGGAAGAGCTTTTCCCCACCAACCTTAGAACTTGCACCACTATCTGCTGCAAACACTGTTCTTGGAGTAGACATTTTTTTAAGTGGGATTCTGATGAAATCGAGAATGATTAAAGAAGCTAGCTTGTGGGCTGGAATATCTGGAGTGGACACTGCTGGGAAGGTTAAAACCATGGGTGATGGCAGTGCAATGAGTCTACTGCCAACCCTAGCAGTTGATGGCCCAGTGCAGCAGTGAGAGAAGAGCAGATGCTCCTCCTGTTACCCAGCATAGAGCACTGACGTGTCGCTGACCAAGATGCCAGGAACCACACTTATACAGGGCTATGTAATGTACTCCAGCCAGATGGGAACATGTGTCACTGCTGTTCACTGAGGGGGAGTGCACAGACTGCCCCAGGCATAGCCATTAAAGACTATTAAAAAAAAAATAATCTCCAAATGTTACAGTAAGCAAGTGAATACAACAGGGATATTGCTACTTTGCTCATCCCACCTTTTGCTCCTCCCTTTCCCAAAACCAACGTAATGACTGTCGCGCTCAGTGAGAAACGTCCTTTCTGGTAGGAAGCTGTTGTGCTTCTTGTGCCATACAGACCATCTCCTCCAGGCACCGATTCCTGTTACTTGGCTCATGCTGATCTGAAGGAGGAACTGAGTAATCAAGACATACGCACATTCGTACACAACCATTTTAGGGGGAAATGCCTTCCAGACATAATGCAGACACATGCACATTTTCACTCCAGCTCCTGCACTGGAAGACTCAGTCTGGCCTCCTGCTCAGCTCTGAATCTCCCCAAAACATGCTTTCCCCAGCAATGAAATGAATACCAGGTACTGCTTGAAAAACATTCATCCATTTCCCAGCAAAACATCCCTGCAGCCCTCCGAGCCCCTTGCAGGGAAGCTGAATGCTTCCCATGGGTTACAACTCCCCCATCTCCACTTTTAATGACATCTCCAGTGATCTCAGTGCAACACACATCCCCGATAAATCCTCACTGCAGTCCCAACAGAGGCGGAGTGTGGCATGCCAAGATGACGGTGTGGGAGACAGAAGACCACTCATGCACATCCAGAAAGTGATAATAAAAGCCCATCAAGAGTTACAGTTTATTTCAGGTTCAGAAATGCAGCATAACATTTTTACAGCAAGTGTATGCGAGGCTCAGTAATGACCATGGTTTCGGGAATCGACTCACTTGCTCAAAGGTCAATACCAGGAACCATTTACAGGTTATGAAACCGAAGGCGGATGTTTTGGTTCATATGAAGTAGGGCATTAACATACAGAGCAAAATTCAGAAAGAAATTAAGCATCTGCTTCTTACAAAAAGAAGTCGTTTACACCATCCTGGAAAAGTAAAGAGACAGGCAGTAAAGCAAACGGCTGGCAAGATGGGACAAATCATATATCAAGCAAGAGTGGAGGACTGTCTGGACGGGAGGAGCCATCGGTATCAGCTCGCCTGCAGACAAAGCAAGAGGAAAGACAGGCAGAGTAACATTCATTTACACAAGAGAGTCCAGGGAAGAGGATCAATTCCACAGCGGGAGGCACTGTGCCATAAGCACACCAAGAGGTTGGATGCCTCCCCAGTGTCACAGGTGCAAAATAGGTCTGTTTTCAATTCAGGACGTTTAGACTATTTTAAGACAGACAGAACTAGCTAGTAATCTCAATATGCTGTATACATGTTGTTTAGTGTAGCTGTCTGCAATAGAGAGTCTAGTATTTTCTATGTCATGCTTTAACACGAAATGCCAGAACTTATACTGTACCTCATTTAATATAATATTCTACTTTTATGAGGCTTACTCAGAAAGTACAGTGAGATCAGCAATAAAATAAACACAATTAACTATGTACATAAGCCTTTTCATTGAGCATATCATATTTTTAATCCTAACACAAGATCCCATGAGATTAAAGGCCGAGAGCTAGTTATGGCATGCACGAGCTCTTCAGCCGTTGGTCAGCCATGATGAGGTGAGGTGGAACATGTTCTCTAGGCAGAGACTCAGGTTTAGCCTAAATGCAATACTAGATGAGCACCCTCCTAAAACTTAGCTACCACCTCGCATAAGATCAGAAACCCTGCTGTTGCTTAATGGGAGTCTCCACTACTCCCTGGCAATTTTCTAGGCTTTGCCAAGGGAAATCAAATTAAGAGAGCGCAACCCGTGCTTCTCAGACATGGGAGTTGAGGCTTAGCTCACCCTGTCTAAGGGGGTCTGCAGAGGGGGCAGTGGCCAGTCTGAAGGGGCCATTCCCTTTAGCAGATCCACGGGGTGCCCATCCTGCTCTCCTTCAGGCATAGAGTGAGTTGCTGCCAAGGCTGCTCCTCTGAGACCAAGGGATGGGAGAGACACGAGCATCAGGAGCGAGTGGGACAAACCAACCCATTCCAGGCGCTGTATGGCAGGAGGAAACAGGCCAAGGTTGGAGGACAGTACTTACTCAATTAGATGTGGAAATTTCTTGGGAAGCCCTTAACGTTCTTCCTAGAAACAACAGTTCTATGCAGTTTATTCTGAGAAGCATATGTGCAAGAAGATAGACATAAAATCATCAAACTCCAGATCTATACTCAAGGTTACTTATTAACCTGCACAACTAAGAGTATTGCATTTAGGATACAGGACCACACTTAGATGTGATGTCAATGAGGATGCAGAGGGAGGGCTGTGCAGCTGTGTCCCACCACCTCAACACTGGGTGCAGAAACGGACAGTGCTGACAGTGGTGCCACAGGTGCCTCGCTGCCTCTTCCTCCTCCTATTTTGGATAAATCCATCCTTGAGGGCTTTATTTACAATTCAGGATTACTGATGAGAAATACCATTTCTTGGGGGGGCAAGTTAAAGACAGTGCTGAATTGTTACCTACTTCCTTATGCTTGACAGAAACAGTCATTACAGTAAATTAAGGAGTCTCAAGCACAGAGGATTTAAAAACATGTTTTTAGGCCAGGATCTATGTCATCTAATTGAGGCTCCTAACTCACCGACATTACCACCCTCATCTCCCATGTGGCCACACCAGTCTGAATCACCTTCTGGAGGTGCTGCCTAGTTCCACTGAACAAAGGGGACCTTGGACAACTAAGTCAAGTACTTGGGGTATGATGGGATAAACCCAGACCATGGCCTTGCAGTATCACTGAATGAATATAAAATTTTGGGGTTGAAGTGACTTTCTGTGGCTGAGGTGCTAAGCCTGGCTTTCCATCAGCAGGCAGCTGCCAGTCAGTAACAGAGAGTTCTGATAAAGTATATACAGGCTTGCTGGCTCAGCAACAGCATGGACTACCACAGCTACTTATAAAAATACATCTAATAGATGCATTGCACGTTACAGCAGAGTGTGCTACACAGTGGAAAACTGTCTTGAACACAAGAAAAATAATCAAAATATGTTTTCTTTTTTGGAGTAAAAATCAATAGTTGGGTTTGGAATCTTTTTTTTCCTTGAAAGCTGATTCTGTGCACTTAGTGTTGGAGATCTTGGTCTGTTCTTCAAACAAACACCGGCCGCTTAAGCAGTCCTCTAAGATCACCAAGATGCCAGTGCTCTGACAAACTCCATCTTCACTGTGCTTCAGAGTTGACCTCTAGACTCCCCAGGCATGTGTCACGAGTATGAGGTTGACAGGAAATTAAAGTCAAGCTAACATACAAATCATGATGCTTTCCCAAGCTCGTGTCTCTTGTGCAAGCTGAAACATGATTTGCTTCAGTGGTGAGCACAACTGATCAGCAGTCTGGGAATACTTAATAGGCTAAATCCCCATTTGCTGTGGCTCTTTGATTGGATTCTTGCTAACCAGGGGGCTACAGCATACTGAAGCCCTCCATGCAGTCTCAATAAATAAATTTATTAGACAAATTATACTGTGGACCTTTGAAACCACCAACTGCTTTGCCTAGGGATCTGTAACCATAATTGTAATAACAGCAATTAATATTTAACAAACAAGGCCAAATTAATCTCCAGTTTAATTCCGTTAATTCAGTAAATTTTAAACTGTAAGGGTGACACTGACCCTAAGCTTTTAAAGTGAAGTAATGCAGTTGAGACAAAAGGTTTATATAACGCATTAATACATAACATGCAAAACAACAGGCAGAGAGGACCTCTGCAAGTGAACATCTGCTAAAATAATCCATTGCCAGGATGCACAGCTGAGCGCTTCTCAGTACCTAGCTGGATAAAGCAACCCTAATCCGAGGTGTGCAGTACTTCAAGTGATGCAAAGACAAAATCTTTATATAAGATATAGTGGAACTTCATCAACTGGTGTGAGCAAGTATCTCAAATCCAAATCGGACTCTTGGAAAGCTCGGATGCAAATTTAGACCATAGCTCTGTGAATTGGCTCACACAGTGGGCAGAGGAGCAGTAGCCCATTTACAGCTGTGCATATATCTATATCTCCTTCTGCTTCACAAAATGACCAAAAGCAACACTCAGTTCTCTGGATCCTGCTGCGCAGTACATATTACATGCACTCACACACCCCCAAGGCTTCCCACAAGTTCAGTGGGAGTATGAATGTAAGTAGTAATAGTCCTCACTAATAGAGGACAAAGTGAGCTGGCACACACTGCTCTGTCATGTAATGGCTCTTCAAACCACCCTTTCACATCCTTGCTGCAGGGTGAGACGGCTCCCCACTGAGCCCTGCAAGCTGGGACACCACAGCCTGCTCCTTACCAACCACTCAACCAGCTTCACATGTCAGCTGCCAACATGGAAATAAAGTAAAACACGCATTGTCCCATACACACCCTTCTTGTTTAACAACATTCCTTAAAAAATAGACTTTGGATAAAGAGAAATTATAGGAGAAGCAGCCATCCAGCAAGCTTCTTGCAAGAGAGCCATGGAAGTGCAGGGCCTTCAGAAGAGCTTGGTAAGAAACCACATTGCTTTTCTTTACCCAGTTTGACCATTAAAATAGAAAATTGGCATAACTGTGTAATTCCAAACGATAGAAAACCTGAAAGGTACAAATATAAGCAAGATCCCTTTCAGATAAGAGGGGAAAAAAAGAAGCAGATCAAATCAACACGTGCACAAACACACACAAAGTCAAGCCCTCCATTTGCTGTACAGGACTGTGAGTACAGTTTCCTGGGTGAAGATAATGTGTCAGTAAGTTAGCTAACATCAGCTCTTGCAAAAGGAAAAGTCAAGGCATCACAGACCTTCCCAAAACATTTAAGACTTCATAAACAATGCAGAATGGACAGAGAGTATATCAGTAAAATTGGTTACTTGCCTATAGATGTCCATACATGCGACTATACAGTGGTTATTGCAACAGTTATCAAGCAATTTGTTTCCACATATTTGGTTAACAATGAATGACATGCCAGAAACTTCTTTTAGTCTAACAGGGATGAATCTAATGGACGAATTACAGTGGGCCGAGTAGGTGAAGGGGGTGGTCTTCGACTGGAGAGAAAGAGAGAAGAAACAAGCACAAACACTGAGAACAAACCTGGCACTTTTTGCTGTCGCTATGTGAACATGCACATGCTCCTGAACACAACAATCTTATTTCCGTGTACACTGAAGCATGACAGCCCTAAGCATCCACAATAAGGAAGAAAGGGATGGTTTTCCCACGTGCATACCATGCTTTAGCCCTCTCACACATCAAACAGCTCTTCTCCCTGGTCCACAGCCTGGGTATTCTCTGAACAGTTACCTTCTTGGGCCACAGAAACCATCAAGGAGGATCATATTCTCAAGGGTCAGTCTCAGCCTGGACAGCCACAGGGCAGGCTTACAGGCATGTTTCAGTGTGGCCAACTGGATTTGGGAAGACAGCCTGCAGACTTCAGCTGCTGTTTTGCAGAAGCAGAAAAACGTGCAGCTTCTTACACAGTTGAGCCAACTGGAGCCAATTTTCCCGGAACTGAGGCACAAATCTAAAGATTTATACCAATAGCCAGTTATGAAAATGCTAGCCATGGCTATTGCTTCTGGGTTCATTCATTTACCACTAATGCACTCCTCTTGTCAACTTCATTAACTGCTAAAGGAGTCCCAGATTTTTTTGAAGGGCTTATGGATCTTTATTCCCCTGTTTCAAATGGCTGATTCAGCACAGGCTCCTGTGTACTACAAACCCCTGCATTTCAATTCGGACTGCATCATCATCTGGTAAAAGCCCACAGTGCAGGAGTTGGCAGCAGTACAGTCCCCAGTCATGTTCCACCTGCAGTCCAGGCTGATCAGGGATAGTCCAGGCTGAGACCTTCCCTTTCCTCACCTTGTCCAAGGATGATGCACCAACTCTGCTGGAGATGTAGACAGATGCCGATAGCTGTGTGATTGCCTTTTACAGTTTTGTGTGTATTTAGGGTACCTGATTCACAGCAGTGCTGTGTGGAGATAACATCACCAGCTTAGTTATAAAAAGTATTTTGTAATGCTCCATTCCACCTGAGTTAAAACACCCCACTGCTGAGCGAAGCCTGTGCAGAATCTGAGATGACAATACCTGTTTGGTGTCCAGTACCTGCACTAGCTCAGACAGTTCTGCCTGACACTGCTTTGTGCAGTACTTAAAGAGACTGTTCCTCACGGCCAGCCTGCTCCCTTAGATAGCTGTCGCACCCTCCAGCAGGGTTTTGTTGCTGCAGTTATTCCAATCCATCTCTTACATGGTATCTTTGCTCCCCATTTTCTTTAACAGGAAGTACCAGCTCGCTCTATTTCTTAAACCAGCCCAGATCACCATGAGAGCGCATAGCTGCTCTAAGAGAGGCATGAACCCAGAGTCGGAACAAGGTGGGGAGCTGAGGACTCTTCAGTTCTCATCCAGCTTCAGCACGCTTCATTAATGACCAAGACAAATTGTACAGCCCTCTCTAATGCTGTCCTACACCTGTGAAAGTAGGAACAGTTCCTGTCTCTGAAGAAGATTACAAATGAAACGTCTCATTCTGTTAAAACTAAATAGAAGATGAAAAGAATGTAACTGTGTTAATCGTCTTTGAACTGGAACATAATATATGAGACAAATTTACACTCGACAAAAAAAGTCTTGCTTGGCTCAAAGTGCATCTTGTATGACAATATTCTCTTTTGGTGAAGAAATTAGAATTTTAATCTCTAACATGCAACAAATACAAAATATGCTAACCGAAGCATTCAAGTAAATCAACAAGCTAAAAAAATAGGCAAAATATAATTTCTTCATGGTGTATTTTTCTTACAGAAAAAAACGTTACTGTGTTAACTATTGTTTCTTGTGTTGCTCCAGTGTAGGTCTTCTGGACTCATTTCCAAAATTCGTAGTTTCATAAAGAACCACTTCTAAGGCTCTGCATTTCTGCTGGGTTGCATTAAATTATTCCTTTGTTGAAATGCCTCACATTGCATTGTTTAGCGCTTACTGAAAACATTGTATCATGTGTATACAATTTACAAACAAGGAAAAATGCATACAGCTGTCTTCATATCAAATATAAAAGATACAAGCCCGAGCATGCATTTTAAATCCAGGTTGAATGCAGCATACTAGATTCAAGTAATGTAATTTAGTCAAATTGCTATTTAGCCCAGCAAGTTCAGAAACTGGAGAGCTCAGTGGGAGGATTTCCTGGATATAATCAGTCAAACCAAATCTGAACCAAAATCAGGGCTGAGCCCCATTTCCTCCTTGAACCAGAGCTGTTACTGCACTCTGACCATTATTTTGAATTTTCATTCAAGCTCAGTCCAGACCTGAACAGAAAGTCCTCCAGCAGGATCTTGTTTCTATTTAGAGAACCACTTCAAGGAGAAGCCGATACCCCTGAGGGGCCCCTCTCCACCTGGGGTGCAGTGCCATGCTGCAGCCTCTCCCCCTGCCCCACGCAGCAGGCAGAACCTTGTTCTCCCTGGGGTACTGCTCGATAGACAAGGCTGCTCAGCGAGGGGACCCTGCACAGCCCAAGCTCTCCCCCACCGCTTCACACAACGAATACCTCCCGGTCGAGATGCACGCATGAATCTGGGATGCTCTGCAATATGTACACTTGTATGTGTCTTCCCAACGGGTATGGGCAGACCTCTCCTTAGCTCCAGCCCCTCTCCACTGCCCCTTAAGGATGCTACCTGACTCCTGTGCAGTTGCACTGAGCTTCCTTCCAGCTCCTTCGCCCAGCACACCATGATTAGGGGAGTGGAACCTCCAATTGGAGACCAGAGGTGCCTTCCAGAGAAGGCAAAGATATTTGGGAAAAGGCCTTCAAAAGCATCATTCACCTCCAGTCCTGCTGACGACAGTCTCCTGGGCTGTCTACGGTTCCCTGTGCCAGTAATGCAAGAAGAGGGGCTGTGCTCCCAAGTGCCTGGGCAGAGCACAGCACAGGGGTTCAGCTCCGGGAAGAGACCTCACCTTTGTTAGCCACTGGCACACAGTATTAACTGGCATGAACCAAAACTCAAGTCAAAGTGAAGGGAAAGACAAGCCCAGAAGTTGCCTGTCACTAGATTTCTCTGTTGAGGTGATAAGTCATTATGTGACTCTTATTACACTGGGAGTAGGACTCAAACTTCCCCCCCCCGCCCAACACGAATCTGAACACCAAAGACAGAAGAGGCCAACCTGGATGCCTCTTTTCACTCCCCATCTCTACGATCTGAGCCATGGCTGGGCATGCGGGGACCTGGGCACCCAAACCACCATCCTAAGACAACAGAGCCAGCAGCCGGCACCACGCTGCTCCTTGCAAATGTAGTCCCACCTTCCTCTCTGCTCTGGGCACCTCTGACAAACGCAGGGCTGGGGGAAACCTAGCGTGATTCCGGCACCATCGCTTACATAAACGAGCGTTGCCAGACCCTCCCAAAGTGGAGAAATGCCGAGCAAACGGGCAGTAACCCGGAGAGCAGAGCAGCAGGGGGAGCTCCAGCCTGCCCGTGGACAGCAACGAGGGGAAACCAGAGAAAAACAACCTCCCCCAGGTCCCGGCTCCCCACTAGCTGCCATGTCAGTGACTAAATATGTGACTAAGCCCAATTAAATGTTTAGCCTGAGGCCAACAGATGATAGCGGTAGAGACGGCGTGGACCGCGTTTTCTCTCCGTTATCGGACAGACTCCGGCAGCCCAGGGGTGCGTTTGCAGTGCTTGAGCTGTTCCCAGGCCCCGAAAGGCAGCTCCCGGTTCATAGAAAGCTCCTTCTTGTAAAAATGTCGTTGCTGCGGTAATTCCAATTTGGTTACTGTCTCCAACATTTCAGCTGGGTTTTTGAGATTTGGGGCTGAGTCCCACTGCCTGGCCCCTTTAACGGGCTGCTCAGTCTGCTGTGTTTCTTTGTTTTTTGTGGGTTTTTTGTTTGTTTGTTAGTTTGGGGTTTATTTATTTATTTATTTAAAAAAAAAAAAAAAAAAAAAAGGAAACAGTGTTTGTAAAAGTTAGTGCTAAAGGGGCAGGGGATCATAGGTCCCCAGGGTTGAGTAAACGAGTCTGCAGAAAGAATAACTTCTTCTAACTAGCACATATTAAGCAGATATAAAGAATTTACCAATGAAAATTGTGGACTAAGTATGTATTTAATAACTCCCTGATGTTGCTGCAAAGACTCCTCCTTTGAACAGCTCAGTGGGGTTTTGAACAGAGGGTAACTCTTACCCCCATGCAAAAACTTTTTTAAAAAGGAAAAGTTTTACATTTATTTTTAACCTAAGCATTTTTCCAGTTTTTAAGAACTCCTAAAAGCATTAGTTAGGCAAATGCAGAGCAAAATAAACTAAATAAAGCAAGTCTAGACTTAAAATTCGATCAGAAACATATGGGAGCTCTTCAAGCATTTGCCTTTTGAGAAGTGCTATCACTCCCCACACAAAGTCCACAAAATATGCTTTTAGTAAAGCATGGCTGTAATTACCATGGGGAGGCCCCACTTGAAGAAGATGGCTTCTCTTCTCAGAGCACAGTTAACATACATTCTAAATAAAAGGCTTTCATTTCCACTTATATTTTACATTCTTGTTTGCTTGTGACCACCAGAGAACACTTGCAGAAGGCGTGCACATAACTAGATTTTACAATACATCCTATAGATCTGAAATTGTAAACAAAAATACATTATTCCCTCCCTTCTCCATAATCTTGGCTTCCCTAGAAAGCAGCCCTCTTGGGGTACCCTGATATGTGACCTTGTCATTGCAGAATTTAATGAGAAAATATTCAGACAAAATCTCTAAGTGGCCTTAAATCTGACTGCAGGCAAATTTTATTTTAGGTGACAATGCAAATCTGGATGTGAGGCATACACATAAATAAAAGAATAAAAGAGTGACTGACTTCAGGTGAGGAATAAATATCACTTCTCATTTGGGTGATTATTTAGAGAGACTAAGTAATTTGCTTTTCTTGGAACAGTTCTAATACCCTGACTGATTTTCTTTTTATATGGTTTTCTCTGTTGCAGTAAGATTCTGAGAGACCCACAC